CATTTAAAAGCCGAATTTTGTTTTTGCAAAGAAATAAATCATTAACAATCCAAAGCATGTGGCAATTACACCACTAACAGCAAATAAAGGTTTTCTCCTGTCATTCTCTGTCATTGATATTGACTTATCAACTATAATCATTCCACCAGCAATCATAACAAAAAATATAGATGCACAGATTCCTTCAACGATATACTGTCCATTGTGTCTTCCTTTCATGATGGTTTCAGGTCGAATATTTCCATGTTTATCTATAACACTTCCTGTTCCAGGAGGTTCAATAATAATATCATAGAATATTCCTGCCATAATAATAGTATAAGAAACTAGTATGAATGAAAAAATATTCTTTTGAAAGAATCTTGTTATTGTTGAAGCCATTCTTTTTTTATTTTTTCAATTTTTTTTAGATTTCTTTTAATTTTTCTTTTCTTTTTTAATAATTATAAGTTTTTCTATGAGTAAGTTTCTAAAACATCAAACTTTTCTTAAACGAAACTCAAAATAAGAAGTTTTAAAGTTACTTTAAGAATAAAAAATAACAAGAAAAGATGATGCAATACTCATAAATCTATTAATAACAATTAATAATCACAAAAAACCGAAATAAAAAGAAGAAAGCTATTAATTCCAAGAATGAGTTTCAAATAAAATATATAACAATCATAGAAAACAAGGTATCCAAGCTAAGAGAAAAGGGTTATACCAATTTTAGTCCAAGTTAGTCAAAAGTTAAAGAGATTAATAATGTTTACGTGGTATACTTAATTGAACTTCTATTTCCTTTATCAAATTAATAATCATAAATCATATGTCTAGACTATGTAAAAATTCATTAGTTAATTTCTTAGCTAAAATCATTAAACTACCAATTACTAATTATGAGAGTACTACTGCTCCATCATCTCTGATGAGAAAAAAAATAAAGGAGCTGTTAAAAGAGTCGTTTAGTGCTGATGAAATTAATGAGTTTATGGAAATTGTTAAATCATCTCATCAACCAAAACGTTTATTAGATGAAATGGAAATAGAAAAAATAAAAGAAGCTAGAAAAGTTTCAAAAGAAGATAAGTTAGGGTGTAGAGTTCAGTCTTCTCGTTGTAATTCATTTAATGAAGATATCTCAAAGTATGAAAAACAAAGTGTTAGAAGTTCTTTAAAACACAAACAAAAAGATTTTCATAAAAATTCAATAACAGAAATAAAGAAAATAAAAGAAAGTGCTCCTCATATTCACTACTAATAGACATTAAGAGGCAATGTCTTAACTTGTTTGTAAGTTAGTTTTAGATGAAATTCTATCATTTCTTTTTTATTAAAAATATAAATTTTTAAACTTAAAATAATTTTTTTGTATTTACATGAATCAAAATTCTTCACTTAGTGATAGATTAATTATCATTCATAATAAAACAACAAAAATACAAAAGGTTGTGTCTCAATCAAAAAAAATACAATTCTCTTCATTTTCTATAACTAAAAGTGAAATAAAAGATTGTGTAACTTCTTTTTTGTATGGTTTGTTATTGGATAGGGCAATTACTTAAAAAAGAGAATAAAAAACTTACATACAGAAATTCCATTAGATGGTTTTGATAAACCACGAAGGGTTATTAAAATATTTAAAGAGTTAATAAAATTAAAAGAATTTTATCAAATATCATTTTCTAAATTCCCATTATTATCAAAAACTTTACAAATGTTTCAAGAAATGTTTTTATGTATTCAAAACAATAATACATATATAATAACTGATTCTTTTGCAACAAAGAATTTAGTACTATTACTTATATGTAATGGTTATGATTGTGAAGAATTTTTTACATTATTTGATAAACCAATTAATTATGATTTAACTAAATATTTTGGATCTGATTTAGCTCATTTAACTCAAGAATATTTTAGCTTGCAACTAGAACCTCATTTACCATTTTTCTTCAAATATCCAATTCTTTTTGAACCTCATTCATTTGTATTAGAAAAAGATCTATCTTCTCCTATCAAACAAGTCCTTTTTTCTCCTCTTTCATTTGTTCTACCTTTATTAAAGGACTCTTCTGTTTTTAGACAATACATTCCTTCTAATTTACCGTATAATTATTCAAAATTAACAGAAAGTGTTATTGGATACTCATTCGGTGAACTTCTTATAAAGTTAAAATCAAATCATCCAAGAAGAACAAATCAAACACTTAATATTTTAATTGACAAATTGGCTCAACAACTTAAAAACATTAAAAAACCTATTGTTTGTTATTTAAATAATAAATTCTTTGTTGAATGTTATAATTATAAAGACGTTGTTCCAGTTGATCTTTCAAAACTTGGGATATATCCTGAAATGGAAGTAAAAGGTAATGGTGCAGTAGGAATTGTACATCGTTCTAAATGTGGTAAATATGCATTAAAAATGTGTAACCCACAAAAGCTTGCATCAACACTGAGGGAGGTTAGAGTATTAAGAATGTTAGATCATCTAAATGTACTTAAGTTTATAGCATATTCACCAAATATTATAGTTACTGAATGGTGTTATTATGGTACATTGGATAATTTTATTAAACAAAAAAATTTTAGTCATTATCTTTTGCCATTGCCATATTTTTTTCATTTTGTTTCTCAATTTAATAATGGAATGAATTATTTATTGAAAGATGTACAATTAGTTCATAGAGACATTAAATATCAAAACATCCTTATTACTGTTGATCCAAATTCAAGTGGTCCAGAGCCAATAAACCTCTTACTCAAAATTGCTGATTTTAATACCTCACGAGAAATTAGTGATATAATGAAAACTAAATGGGGAACAGAAAGTATGATGGCTCCAGAAATTAAAAATGGATCTTTTTACACCTCCAAAGCAGAAATGGTTCTTATTGGGTTATTTCTTCATTTTCTTTTATCTGGTGTCTCTCATCCTAAACCAAAATTGAAAATAGGTTCTGAAACTATTTATGATGTTTCATTTTGTGAAGTAACACGTAGAATTAATCCATATTTATATGACTCTATGTATGAACTTATTTCTATGATGGTTATTAATAAATTAGATAAGAGAATTGATTGGGAAGAGTATTTACTTAGATATTCTATGATTTACAATAATTTTACAAAAAAAAAATAAAAAGTAATAACTAAATAAACAATCCTTTGTTTGTATTCTTAAGTTGCATTAAAGAAGAGTTATTATTCTTGAATTAAATTAATGACTTTTTATTTTAACTGTTTTCAATCTTTTTTTTTCTTCTATGAAAAATAAAAAACAATCAATATCTACATTTGTTTATTTGAATATACACTTAATAATAAATTTATTATAACTATGATAATGATAATGAACCGTTTTTTAATTTATCAATAACTAAGAATAGCAAATAAAAACAACACGAGAAAGAAATAAATGATTTAATATTGATATTACTTAATTAAGTAGATTGCTATTATTAACTAAGGAGAACCAAAATAAAAGGAAAAGAAATGACACTTAATTTTAAAGTTTTGAATTTAAATTAAGAAATGTAATTTTTGTTCTGAAAATGAGAAATAACAAGACTAGCATAGTTATTTGTTTAGTTATGAGTTATAAAAACTCTTATAAAACTTGTTCTCGTATCATTTCACAACCAACGATGACACTATATTTTTATCTTTATTTAATAACTATAAAAACAAGAACCAATAAAAAAAACCAACTGTAACAAATCTAAACTCCCATTAAAAGGGTGGTTATTTAAATGTCTTATTAATTACTGAGTAAAATATAATTCGAATTAAATATCATATACTTGAGAAGAAGAATAATTCTCTTATAATTAAAAGAGTAAAGGAATGAGTGACTTATATTAAGTTGAAAAAAAAAAATAGAGTTTGTGATACTATTAACTGAATCAACTAATTGCTTAAATAAACAAATTGAATTAATTCAAGTTTATAATAATCGAAGGTATAATGTATAGAAAAAAAAAAGAAATATACAGAAATTATTATTAGATTTCTTTGGATTGGTAAGTATTAAGTTAAATGAAATAATTATATTGAGAATATTCTTATTAATTATTTGTCAAATTATTCCAGCAAGGTTTTTTCTATTTTTGAAACAAGACTATTTATAATAACATTTGTAATTATTGTATTTATGAAAATAACGTCAAGATATTTTTGTTATAGAAATTTTATCTAAGAGTAAAAACTACCTTATTATTAAATCTATAACTCTTTAATTTAATATCATTGTATGTCTGTAATTTCATTCATTCCATAGAATGTTAAAGTGGTACGACTATCACTAATTACAAAAAATAAAACAAAATAATTATGTTTTAGAATAAAAGATAAGATAGAATATAATGGCAATTTAGAAAAAGATTCTTGAAGACTCTCTTGTCGTAAAATCTTAGTTTTATAACTATTTTAAACATACTAATATATTTTGAGACAAAGGAAAAAAAACTATTTTTAATCAAGAACTTCAAAAAAATGAATAGGAAAACTTATTTGGATGAATGAAAATACAGAATTGGCTTCCATAACAAATTAAATTTAAAAAGAACATGTAATAAAAATAGATTTCTCAGCAAGGGCAACTTAAAATAAAGTATCCAGAACTAAGAAAAGAAAGAATCAAGAATAATTTAAATATTATAAAAGTTTTAGAAAATGACTTAAAACAAAAAAAAAGAAAAGATTGAAAAAAGAACGAACAACTGGAAATGAATAACTACCCCATGGACAGTGAGTTTGATGATTATGATGAATCATTAGTAGAGGTTAAAATAATCTTTATCGGAATTGATAAAAATCCTTCACAAAAATTAGTTGATTTATATGTTCAATCAATTGTGACTGCTCCTACTACGTCAGCAGCTGATGGTGATGATATTAAACCTTGTATTACTGATGTTAAAGGAGTTCAAACCAAATTAACACTTACATGTTCTGGTTTGTATATTTTTTTTTTTGGCTTTTAAATGTAAAATGGTTTAATTTACATATTTATCGAATGTTTGTAATAACAAACTGATAGATGGAAAAGACAAATATCGTTCATTAACAACAACATATTTCAAAAACGCAAGTAAAGTCTTTTTAACATATAGTTTAACAAATGGTGATTCTGTTAGGACATTACAAAGTTGGTTAAAAGAAATTCAACGATATTGTGATCCTGATGTAGATGTAGGAGTTTTAGGATTTGGTATTCAAAGTGAAGAGAATAAAGAAATTTTCAATTCAGGTAAATCTTTTGCAGATGAAAATCGACTTGATCATTATTTGGTTAATTTAAATGATAAAGATAATGCAATTCAATTTTTAAAAACGATGATAGAAAAACATGTACCAATAGAACAAAAAATTGAACAAACACCATTTCCAGAAAAAAAGTCTGGATGTTGTGTTATATTATGACTGTAATGATTTTAATGTAATGGATGTTTATGAATATTTCGGTTATTATATTTCTTTTTTGTTTTCTTTATTTTCTTTTCGTGTTATTATCAAAAAAAATCTTTTTTTTTTTTGAGAAAGAACTTGAAATCATTAAAAAATCTTTTCATTTTTTGTATTAGTATAATGAGTGAAACAGAACTAAATCAACAAAATATTCATGACGTTCAACAATTATGCCAACAACTGCTCGTTCAGTTAAATGACTCTGATAATGAGAAAATAAAAATTAAAACAGAAATGCAATCTGCATTAGACGAATTAAATGAAGAAAATGAACAACTAAGAACACAACTATTGATTCTCAATGAAAAAAAATTTGGGTTAGAAAATTCACTTCATGTAAATGAATCCGAAAAAATAGAAATTCAAAAACAATTTGAAAAAGAAGTTAAAGTACTTAATGAAAAAGTAAAAAAAATTAAAGAGAAAAAGAAAGATATTCAGAAAACTGTAAGTGATTTACAAAATGAAATCAATTTTAATAAAATTCAAAATACTTCTTTAAATGAAACATTAAAAAGTCAAAAAAGTAAAAACGTTAAATTTGAACAACAAATTACATATATAAAGAATAGTTTTAAGTATTTAAATGAAATTATAAATGGTAAAGAGTTAATTGAAAATAACCAAAATGATTTTCAATTAGTAAATGATAATGAATTAAAAATATTAATATTACAAACTTTTCATATGGTTCAAAAACAAATTGATGAATTAAAAATATCAAATTCTAAAGTTATTCTATTTCAACAAGAAAATAAACAACTAAAGAATTTATTAGAACAAAAAAATACTAAACTTGAAGAATTAAAAAAAAATAAAATAAAATTTATTGAAGAAAACAATGATTTAAAAGTAGAAAATAAAGAATTAAATAGTCTTGTTAAAGAACAAATAAAACAAATGAAGGAACAACAAAATCAAATTGAAAACCTTAAAAAGGAAAACATATTTATAAAACATGAAAATGAAATTAAAGAAGAAAAAGAACAAATAAATAAATATAATGAAATAAATCTTAACATTAATTTAACAAGAGTTGAAAAGAAATTTAATTGTAAAGTTGGTTATTTAAATGGTGGTATTATTTTTGATAATTACCATATCTTTAAATTTAAATCAATTCATGAAGATGAACATATTTGTATTATCAATGAAGGATTTCCTGTTAAAATTCATTTATGTGAAACTAAAGAACAAATCATTATTCCTTTTGAAGATAATGACAAACGATTAAAGTTAAAAGGAGGTAATGAAGTTATTATTGGATTTAATGATGAAATTATAAATATTGGTAAAGAATGTAGTTTAACTTTTATAGATCATTCTCCATTTTGTAGAATTCATACATTTGATGGAATTATTGATTCAAATAATATCGTTTTTCAACAAGATTGTTTTGTTACAGTTTTTGATAAAAAGAAATCTGTTGAACCATTAATTATTGGAAATAATGTTATTCAACCAGGAAAAGATTTACTTGAAATTGTTACTATTAACTCTATTTCTAAACCATTAATTGTATTAACTGTAGAGTCAATAGAAAATCCAACAAATTCTATGGAAGCTTATTCAATGCAAACTGTTTTTAAACCAAAAATAAAAGAAGGAGAATATTTCTATATTGACTCAACACTAACATATACTTCAGAAGGTATTCCTTATATGTTTCCAATTCCTTATAAAGATGAACCTTCATATTTAATATATTTTATGAGACCAGGATATTCAAGTGATTATATAACAATACAAGTAATTGAACAAATTGATTAAATTTTAATTTATATTATTTTTTCTTTTGGATCTAATTATCTTTTTAGTTCATTTGATTCTTCTTTTTATGTCAAACTCAGTTCATTACTTTTTAAAGATAAAACCTTACACTGAAATATCTTCTTTATCAGAATTTAATACAGTCATTAAAACAAATTCTCGTGTCGTTGTTGACTTCTATGCATCATGGTGTGGTCCTTGTAAAATGATTAGTCCAGTCTTTATTGAACTAGCACAAGACTATCCCCTTATTAAATGTATTAAAGTAAATGTAGATACTTCACCTGAAATAGCAAGAGAGTGTGGTATCCGGTCAATGCCAACTTTCAGATTTTATAGACAAGGAGGACTAGTAAAAGAATTTACTGGAGCCAACCCATCTCATTTAAAATATGAATTTTCCCATCTCTAATAATAACATTTTTTTATAATCTTTTGTTATTGGAATTATTTTTTTTTCTAAAAATAAACTTTAAATTGAAAATAAATAATCAAAATTGAAGAATAAAGAAAAAATAATCTAGTTCTTGCATCTTTAAAAATTAAAATCAATCAAATCTTCTGTCCTTCTTTTCAAAAAAGGTTTTGGTTCTTTAATGTTTGCACAACTAATAGACTAAAAACATTAATAATTAATCAAAATAATTGAAGTTAATAACATTTTTATTAATTACCATAAAAGAAATTTGTTATGGTATAAAAAGAAAAAATAAAAAGGATGTAAAAATAGTTCTGAGAACTAAAAAAGTAAAAACAAAATAGGTAATGAGTATCATTAGTCTTATATTATTAGGTACATTAACCAGTGCTTTTACTACTGAAATTGCTGGAGGAAAAATGGAATGTTTCATGGAGAAAATAGAAAAAGGAACACATATTGCAATTTATTATCAAGTTATTGAAGGAGGAAATAATGACATTAGTTTTGTTATGTACAACCCAAATGGACAAATATTTGTTGAAGAAAAAAGACAATCAAGTGGAATGGTAGATAAAGAGGCATTGTATTCTGGTGAACATAAAATCTGTTTAGATAATAGTTATGCATCATTTAGTACAACTAAAACGGTTGCGTTATTTATGGACTTTTCTTCACAAGACACTATTGCAAATCAAGAACAAGCTGATAAAGTTGAGAATTTAGCAAATGAATTAAATCACCTTCTTACACATGCTAGAAATTGAAGTTGTATGTTTACATTAAAAT